TCCCAAATTTTCATATTTATCTTTAAACATTTTTACTGTATATTTTTTAAGAAAAAATATTTGCACAGGTTAAAAAAAAACAATTGAGTACATATTGGGAGGAGATCTGAAATAAAAACGAAATTTCGTATAACTACGTGGAAAATGAAAACATATAATTAATTAATTGTTTAAAAAAAAAGAAAATAAATATAAAATACAACCCGGAGAATTAAAATGAATAAATATTAAATAATATTTTAATAATCATAATAGATTTACACAGCACATTCACACGTTTTGCTTGTATGTACAGTGTTTGGATTTATATCAAATTAAATCAACACGTTCGATCTTTATCCCACTTGACAGATCAATATGCTATTTTGATTGGTTGATGCGCTGATTGGATAATCGCAATCCTATTGACAGCTCTGTAAAGAAATACCGAATCCGCGTTCGCTCTCGGGGACCGCTACTAATTTTGGGGGTTGCTCTCGGGGTCCCCCGGGGTTGCTGGGGCCCGTTTACCTTCCTTTGGGCGCCCCCGGGTTTCGCGAGGGTGCCCAGCGACCCCCACCTACCCCGGAAGAAACAAGACCTTTCAGTTAAACAAAAGGGGTTTTCAGTAATTTTTGGGCCTTTCCCAGCCACTGAATGGCACATATTTTCATCCCTTTTCAGTTCCTTTTCAGTCACATTTCGATACCTTTCAGTCACCATTCAGCGGACACATTTCCGCAACATTCAGTGGCCTTTCAATCAACTTTCAGTGACCTTTCCATCAACTTTCAGTGACCTTTCCGTCGTCTTTCAGTGATTTTGTACTTTCAGTGACCTTTCTGTCGTCTTTCAGTGACCTTTCCGCCACCTTTCAGTAAATTTTTAAGTCTCAATTTAGAATTTTTTTCACTAGCGTAGTATTTTTTAATCAGATATTTTTCCTTAACAAGGAAGAATATTTTGAATAAAGATTTATTATTCAATCTTAATTGTTTTTTTTTTTTTTACTTATCGTGATCAAATTGGGGGTCCTTAAAATATATCTTAAGTAATTATTATTTTTAATTACAAGAATAAATAAATCGTTAACTTTATACATCCTCTTGTAAAAAAAAAAAAAGGAGATTTTAGCTTTTAAATGATATTGCTTTAATAATATAATTCTACTAAGTTTCTAATAGAGAATTTACAACGACTTAAATCTTTGACACAGGAACAGGTGCCCGTCTCTGATAATAATTATTGTCATCATTCCGATAGGAGATGTGTAATTAAAGTTTCCCCAAAAAAAAATATGTGAGACTTATTCAAAATGTTTTTTAAATTTTTTAGTTACATTTAGAAAACATAAATTCTTCAAGTGAAAAAAAAAGATGATCCATAACCGATTCAAAATTTAAATAAATGCATAACATTCTATACTGCTTATGCGGGTATTTTTTTTATGGGAAATATAATATTTTGATTTGATGAGACAGAATTTATATTATTTAAACCATTTCTGGAACATCGTAAGTATTACTGATCAATTTCGTTTAATCATGTCATTGTCAAAACTGCAAGATATTTAGTTTTTAAAGACATTATTTTAAATTCATTTTTAATTACAAGAATAAATAAATCGTTTATACATGCCTCTTGTAGAAAAAAATATAAAGATTTTATCTTTCTAAATAATATTGCTTTAATAAAATCATTCTACTAAGTTTCTACATGGGCGTCGGAACCGGGGCTAGGGGGGGCGGTCCCCCCACTTTTTTTCCAAATATATACCTAGTGTAAACTTAGCCCCCCACTTTTTTCCAAATATACACTTAGTATAGACATTTAATATTGTTTGGTAGGTTTAGCCCCCCCACTTTCCACAGACATGTCGCAGTATGGGTAAAAAATGGAAAAAGGATGGAGTGTGGAAAAAATTTTTGGTAGTGAATATATCTTACCCCCCCCCCCCCCCCCCCTACGAAATAGGATTTTCGTGTTTGGGAAATTTCCTTTTTTTTTTTTTGCTTGTCAGGTTTTTTGAGAAGGTATATTTTTTTTTTACACTTAGCCCCCCCCCCCCCACTTTCAATTTGCTTCCATGCTAATGTTCTAGATAGAGAATTTACAACGATCTTAAATCTTTAACACAGGAACAGGTGCCCGTCTCTGATAATTGTCATCATCCCGATAGGAGATGTGTAATTAATTAATCTGTCCCCAAAATCCGCGCAACTAACATAGAATATACAAAAGATATACAAGATATATACACACCGCAGCTCCTCGATACAAAGGTGAACTGATTGTTCCATCGATTTCTATAACTTAATCGATTTTAAATCCACATATCTTAACAAGAAGTCGTAGTGTAATTGATAAGGTCGCGGACACGTAAGCAGGAGACCAGGGTTCGATTCTGGGCATGGGAGTGAATTTTTTTTCTTGTATTAATTTTTTTCCTATTTTTTTAAATTCGGAATTAGATACATTTAATGCTATTATACCAGGAAAGAGTGAAATAAAATTTTTAGGTAAAAAAATAAGCCGATTATTCAATAAAAAGATTCAACTGAATAATCACGGAAAGGTCACTGAACTGTATGTGCCATTCAGTCGACTGAATGGTAACTGAATGATCACGAAAGGTTACGGAAAGGTCTTTTCAGTGACCTTTCAGTGACCATTCAGTGGCCATTCAGCCACCATTCAGTCGACTGAATGGTGGATTTTCATCCTGTGAAGTGACACTGCACAGAGCGAACCCGGGGTCCGCTCCGGGTTCGCTTTCTGTTAGGTTGTGTCCGGTCGGTAATCTGTATATAATCAAATAGGTTTTATTAGTCTGAACAATGTAAAATATATGGTCACTTTAAGAGTTTTTTTTCTTTATAAAAAAAATGGATAAATGAACAAAAAGTATTTTCTTAAATACAATGTATAAGTTTGATAGATTGATATATTAAAAAAAAAATCAATAAAAAAAATGAACCTTTTATTAAAATTTAGAAATAAAATGTAAGAAAAAAAATATTGTGTTTAAGAGTCATTCACAGGACAACCGAAAATTAGAAGAGATAGAAACTGAAATCGGTCTGAATAATTTTGAGAAGAAAAATAAACAAGAAAATTAAAAGATTGTTCAGAATTTCTAAAGAACCTGTTTCTTGTAAGATGTTCAAATTGTTCTAAATATTCGTTTTCCTCCTCCTGTCTATCATATTCTGGAATTTCTTGCATTTCCTGATTTTCCTCTTTTGCGAGCTCATAAGTTTCAAAAATATTGGAATGAAGATCTGGTTTCATTTGTCTTTTGAAAGGATTTGGAAGTTCTGTGATGGCAACAAGATGCAAAAATGTACCCCATCTGGAATGAATTTAGCAAAAACTTAAATAAACAAAACACAAAGAGAGATATTTCAGTTGTAAAGACAAACAAACTTAAAATAAACAAAAAAAAAATCATTTGAAAACAAAGAAATGAAAATAAAACTGTATGAACTTTTGCTTGTCAGCTTTCTTTAACAACTGAATTTACTTGCTAAAAAATATTTAATATTAGGATGGCTGTAAATATTGATAATGTCTTTTGCTTCACTGTGTTAAGGATAGTTCTCACCTATATTTGGTTTTTACTCCACACACAAAACTTGCAGGTGTGGGAACTTAAAACAAAGGCGTCCAAAATCATAGAACATAGTTTAATTTCTGTGACATGATAAAAACTCTGCTTATTCTTTATAACATGAGGCTAAAAAATAACCCTGTTTACAGTATATTATGCGTATCTTATTACGGGATCTTAAGCACTGAAAATCATAAGCTTTAGTTCACATGAACATGAAGCACATTTGCTGCTCTATTTTGCAGCAACTGATAAAATAGAGAGGGTCTGTGTGTGCAGAGCCTTTATTACAATTGTCAAATGAAATAACATATCTTACAATTTTAGAATGCAACAGAAGAAGGGCAAAGAAAATTTTCTACACCTTTTACAAAAGCAAATTAGTATATGTATTTTCTTCAAAAATAACAGTATGTCCACCTTTTCGGAACCAAACGTTTTTTTTTTTGATAAGGATTGGACTAATTATAACTAGTGGGCGCTAAACTATAGAACTCGCGAAAACTCCTCTAAACCCATGACTTTTTACAAAATAGCGACGAATAAGAATAACACATTTCTGTATGTATTTAGATCTTATAAATTCATTTATATGCGTAAATACGCTTGTTGTTCTCAGACCTGTGTGTAATGATAACATTTACCTGTGCATAACCATGCCGCAAAACTGTATCATAAGAATGATAAGGAAAAACCCAATAAACAGCAGACCCAGAAATTCGATTCTCATCTCGTAATTCTCGACTTCGTCATCCTCACTGTTTATCTGAAATGGAAAAAAAAATGACTTGTTAGAGACAGTTGTGTCAATTATATGATAAGCTAATGTTTTATACACTGAATTATTATATTATGTGATATCATTGAATAGAAAATAGATGATTAAGAAATAAAAAAAAATGGCAAAGAAAACTATTGATATTGAATTTTTTTTGACATTTTCAAATTGAAAAAAAAAATGTTTGAAATGGAAAAAAGAATATAAAAACCAGTTGAAATTCCTGTAGACCTTTTCATTCAGTCGAAAATGTAGTGCTTATGAATTTAAATATAATGCATATAATACGTACTGGGAGTTTAAAAGTAACCACTGCAGGACTCCGTAACTGAAACATGAAGTTCACAGCAATCCAAAGTAGGTTAACAAGAGCCATCCCTCCACAAACATTATTTCTCAACTCCCTCAATTGTTCCTTTACTTTGTCTTCTTTTGCAGGGTCTCTTTCTAAAGGTTTTAAGTATCTAAAAGAAAAAAAGGCAGATAATAAATAGCATGTTTAGTCCTATTTAAGGGTTTCCCAATAATCAACTTCAACAAATCATATATAGATGAATTCCTGATATATTGAAAAAAAAAATTGGATGCTACGTCTTACTCGGTGTGATGTTACTTGCCAATACACAAATATCATATAAAAGAAAAAAAAACTGTGTTAATTGTCAATTATTAATTATAATTGTAAATAATTTTAGTATTTACCTGTCAACGAAGGATCTCCAAAAATCAGCTTCCTTTTCCTTCATTTTTACATATCTTCCTTTGAAAGGGCCTTTGTTTACCCATTTTGGTTCTTCATGGCTAAACATCTGTTTAAATAGGTTACACTTACGCAGTACAGTTAAGGCAACACATGGAAAAAATATGGTAATGAAGTCATAATGAGGTCTGACGTCATGACAGTTGCTCCGCCCTGATTGATCCATATAAGGAAATGGTGCTCAAAATAACTATTTACCGATATTTGCAAGAATTTGTAATAAACAGCAATATCTTCATGTTTAAATAGAAAAAAAATATTGATTTTCTTGTACATAAAATAGCATGTCTTTAAATTAATTCTCTTTTTAATGTGTCGTTTGTCTGCATTCGGCTTCAGCCAAGCGCTTGCACTCGGTGACACGGAATGTTGTTTACATCTAAAAACGTGGCGACATCAGCTGAGATTTGCAGTGGATTTAAATGCAATAACCACACAATCTTTAAAGAAAATAGGGATAAAATAAGAGACAAGGCATTACTTCTCCCTTTTGCGAGAGTATGAGGACATTATTTCGGAAAATAGCAGAAAACTGAGACGATTGCACCAGCTCCGCAGATCCATCACTGCACTGCAATTCCAGGACAGGTATGTATACGCATATGTAGGTACATGTGTAGATCTACGATATGTAGACATGCTTTTGTTAACCTAAAAAACCCGAGTGTGTCCATGTTCATTTAAATGTATTATCAAAGTCAGTGAAAAACAGTAATCCAGTGTCTTGTGTGTACCCCACCCCCCCACTAAGTTGCACACTTTTTAGAATTATTAAAAATTAATTGCACTGAATATGTACTGAGTTCCTATCAATGAGCGCATTTTCTTTGAGACAATATGTGTAATAATGGAGGTCATCAGTAACACAAATTTAAACTAAATTAAATGTCATTGAAATGTTTTCATTGTTTCAGTCAATGATTCACAAGTGACTAGGCCTAAACAAGCAATGATTTTGTCTTTTGACATACAAATATGCTACACAATTAAAAAAAAATATCAGTATTATTGTGTTGAAAACATAGAAGCCCCACTTCAGATCTATGGTTGTAATTTTCTAGAATTTCTAAAGAAATGAAAAAAAATATTCATTTTTTGTTTAGATTACATGTACATTAAAAATATTTATATAATACTTTTATCATTGTAGCTGTCAGGTGTTTTGGGCTTAAAGAATGAATAAATAAAAAATGCATCATTTCTCCACAGGGTATGTATACATGTAATTCTAAAGCATTTCACATTTTTACAGTTTGCAAGTGCTTTACATTTTGTTTTTTTTTTTCATTTTGGTAAAGGAGAAACTCAGAATTTTTTTTTTTTTTAGAAAATATTCTCTCAATAACTTTTGTAAATGTCAGAGGTTTCACTTTCCCAGAGAAGTTTTGTAACACATTTTTCCATTTATATGAATAACATAAATTCACTACAGTATACAATCATGTAGCATAATTTGTTTTGTCAAATGTAATGCCATTTTATTCTACAATGTATATTTAGTCATCTCATAGCATATAACTGCATATATATTACATGTATATTGTGTTGTAGGCCTAGCTATTTCCAAATGTTGGACAAATTGATTCATTCAGACAGCAAGTTAATCCACAATTCAAGGAAAATGGTATGCTCAATATTAGCTATAAACCATACAGAGTTTTGATAATAAAACTAACAGAAGAATTGAAAACATGTATTATTATGCATTCTATGTTAAATGTTTCAATGAATTTTTTTATTTCATTTTTTAAAACAGAAATTACTTTCAATTATGGTATTTCCTGATTTTTTCATATTTTCAGAATTCATTTTATCCACAAGAACATGAAGTGATGGAAATAATTTGCACCTGCCCAGCATTCCTACAGTCTGTCTTTGGATTTGAAAAAAATGTTTTTTAAATAAATTTTCTAGATAAATGATAATTTGACTTTTTCATATATTTACTGTACAGCTGTTGAAAAGGCCATTAAGATTTGAAAATTTGGCATACTATTTGTGTAGAGGGTACCAATGTCGATCAAAATCTTATTTCCAGCATGTGCATTGTGTTCATTTATTTTTCAATAATATTACCGAAAACAGGAGACCAGAGATCCCCATAATTGATTAAAAAAAATAGGATAGGGGACCACCATTAAATTCTGAGGGAAGGGGGGGGGGGGGGGCTGGGGCAGGCGAGTTTTTCCAAGTCAGATTTTTTTTTCATTTCCATGTCAATGCAGGACAGATTAATGTTTATTTCTGATCAATAAGATGAAGGACAGATAATTTATTATTTATTTTCCTCTTCATTGAAAAGTCAACCATTCAAAAAAAAAAAAAAAAAAAAAAATGGAAAAAATAATCTGATTCGAGGAAGGGGGAGATCACAGATCTGCAAGTATTTATTTCTAAAATCTGCCAGCCCCTCAACCTCAAAATAAAATGGCTGTCAATTTACAAAATACAGGAGTATACCCCAATCCTTTATAATTAGTTCCTAAAACTTATAACTTAGTTTATATCCCTTAATTAACAATAAGCGGTCTGACTGAAAGCGATCGTAGAACATCGTAGAACATGATCTTGTATGCAGAAAGAAAAAAAAAAATAACACAAGTGTGTGTACTATAGGCGTCGGAAGCAAAATGAAAGGAGGGCTATTTTAAAAGGGGGCGACTAAACCAAAAGAAAAACTGTTAATTCCAATGCAAATAAGCAGGGAGGCTCATGCGCTCAGCCCCCCCCCCCCCTCGGTTCCGACGCCTATGCGTACAGTAGTGAGAGAGGGGAATAGATATCTAATTAATTATTAATAAAGGCTATATTTTAATTAATCATTTGTGTTCTACATAGATATATCGGCAATATTTAGACCTATTCGTGTACTACATGTATATACACATCTTTGAGGAAATGCGGGAGGTTTGAAAGACATTAAATGTACAATGTATGGAGAACGAATACACAGAAAAGAAAGAAATATCAAGGATTTTTATGCATACCGTTTGATATAGTAATAAAAAAAAAAGAGTCCAGCCCTGTCCGCATGTATATTTATTTAAAATTTACGAGGTAAACAAACTGTATCAAGACCTCAAGAGTTATCTCCCATGCTGGGTCAATGATGCGTTTGAAAACTAAAATTAGATTGACTCTTCCAAGATTTTAATTTTTAATCAAAAAGTGCAAGGGCAAGGCGACAATCTAAAAAGTAGGTTTTTATTTTAAATTATTTATTCTATTGTATAGTTTTCAAAAAGTGATACTCATTTCTTTGTAATCCTTTAGTTAATTTATAATTCGCGATGAAATTAGGAAAATATCCATTTTTCATACATTACTGTCTGTTTTAGCTGAATAACTTAATTATATCGGAAAACTAACTGAATGAGCATCACTTTTGAGAAAATATAGATACATAGAGACAACATAAAACATTGTGCAGTTAATTTTTTGTTTGCCTTGCCCTTGCACTTTTTGGTTAAATTTGACATCTCATTTTTTGACCAAAAATCGGAGCCCACGTGACTTCAGGGGGTCACATGATGTCAAAAAATACCGATGTGTAAAGCGATGGACATACTCTTCAAGATAACAAATAGCTATTTTAGCTAGAGTGTCTTGCTAAAAAATAAAACTGTTAAACATTATATGTATCGGATTCCGTGACTTTTTATGGAAAATGTTGCCTTAACTGTACTGCGTATATGTAAACGTAATACCTGAATGCATATGTAGAGGCATATTAATAAATCATTTAAGATTTAAAGCTACATTTAACCTTAGTTTTACATAATATAATTTTAAGCATCTTTAATTTTCTAATATTCGTCGGATACATAATGATATTTGCATACCTTCTCCATAAAAACTTTTTCTGAACTCTCTTTAGTTTGCTCTTGAGAATGTGTTCTTACAAGTGGCGCCATCTCTGTTACTATCTCTTCCAAATGTTCATTTTGTGGATGGTTTATTGCAGAATCCTTCCTGAATCCAACAATGTCAGTCATTGTCGCTAATACCTTAAGGAGCAGGTCCTTTTCTGAAGGGTTTGATTGGAATAAATTTTCTTTTATCTTTGTTAACGGGGAGAATATTTTATACAATAATCCTTTATTTTCTTTTTCCTTCTCTTTCGTTGTACCACTCTCTCGCGTTCCCCATGAAATATCATTCAAATTGCACAAAGAATAAATGACTAGAAGTAAGAACCCAGATGGAACAAGAATATAGTAAAGTAGTCCGTATATAATATTGCCCCATTCCCTTGGGTGAAGTAAAGCGGCAACTATGAAAATAGCCACGAGTCCCATGATGAATATGACGCTGGGGTGATATGGAGATTCTGTCACTGCTGTAATAATAACGCCGACGAAAACGACCATCATAATTAAAACGTAAAATCCGCTGAGGATTTGAGCTATCACTAGTTGAACATTTAATCGAAATGTGAGACATATGATGAAATATGCAACAGCCGGAAGTAAGGAGGCGACATATGACATCATAAGATCCAAACCAAATACGGCAACAAAAGCGCCGGCAATCATCATAAGAATTGTTGCTGGACCTATAAGTGTCGCAACCATCAGTGAACCTGAAAGAAGCAAAAAAAAATAATTAAATAATCAATGAAATCGTATAATTTTTTTTTTATTAAAAAAATAAATCTTATCTTTTCTGACAGTTTTTTTTTGTCAGTGTCAGGTTATCGAAATAATGTATATGCCAATGAATACGCAGCAGTGATAAAAACACATATTTCCCACCCAAAATATAACCATCATTGGTAGCGGGGAATAAATGTTTGGGAATTTTCTTGGCATTGTTACCCAAGATATTTATCCATTTAATCTAAAATATAAACAAGAAATCGACAAAATGACTTCCAGCAAATAAGTGAAATTTCCTCTGTCCTATCGAACATTGACTCCCAAAATTCAATTTTTCCACAATACTTGTAAACAAGTTTTTTTCTTTATTAAACGTTATGTAGCCTTGGGCATTGATCATTTTTTTTAGTTACATATGTACAATTTGATTGAAACCATTAAATATTATAAGTTTTGGGGATGAAAGAGTGAGACAAACCTTGATAGGCTATATAAAGCCAACTTATATTTGGATTAGCCTCTACTGTATTTTTGCCATCTTGCAGTAGAGCCATGATATTGGCAAGTGTGGAGGGCGTCCATCTTTTCCTTTGGTTGAAATATTCATTAAAGCTCTCCGGTGCGTAAGTGTATGCATCAGCACCGGCAGCATAATCCACTCTGTAT